TATGGTCAGGCATCAAACAAGATATTATAGTAAGGCATTAAAATGCCAAAAAACGGCAAAAAATAGTATGGCAGAAAAATGCCAAAAAACCTCATAGTATGTGAGGCATAAAAAGTCGTTGAAACAACATAGTAAGGCATGGAATATTGTAAGGTATTAGGTGTGTTAGATACATATAACTTTGACTTTCGAATATAAGTGATATATGGCTGTATATATGTGTATAACACTGACATATTTAGGACACATCTTGAGGTCCTGGTTGGATTGGTGAATGTTTGTGTGTGCTTATTTGGTTAGAGCCCCACGGATGGAAAATGATGTCAGGAGCTCTGAAGGACAAGTAACAGCTAAGAGGCCCCATGGATGTGAGGATCTCCAGATCAATATCAGCTTGTCACGCACATCAGAGAGCAAAAGACCGCAAGCAGTCAAACCTTGGTGTGCATTGTACCAGATCTGTCTTTTGTGCAAGAAATAAAACCAGCCACATTGGCGTCTTGACTTGTGGTTCTCCTTGTGTTCACTTTTTCATCTTTCTCTCATTACAAATTGTCTTTTCAGTAATGCATGAAACGTCATAAAAATTACATAGTATAGAAAGTCATAAAAAGTGATTAAAATGACATGGTATAGTGAGGCATAAAAAGTAAAAAAAAACAACATAGTAAGGCATGGAATATTGTAAGGTATTAAGTGTTTTAGATACGTATAACTTTGACTTTCGAATATAAGTGATATATGGCTGTATATATGTGTATAACACTGACGTATTTAGAACACATCCGGAGGTCGTGGTTGGATTGGTGAAAGCTTGTGTGTGCTTATATGGTTAGAGCCCCACGGATGGAAAATGATGTCAGGAGCTCTGAAGGACAAGTAACAGCTAAGAGGCCCCATGGATGTGAGGATCTCCAGATCAATATCAGCTTGTCACGCACATCAGAGAGCAAAAGACCAAACAAGCAGTCAAATCTTGGTGTGCATTGTACCAGATCTGTATTTTGTGCACAAATAAAACCAGCCACATTGCTGTCTTGAATTGTCGGTCTCCTTGTGTTCACTTTTTCATCTTTCTGTCATTACAAATCGTCTTTTCAGTAGGCATGAAACATCATAAAAATGGCATAGTATATTAAGGCATCAAAGGTCATAAAAACGTCACCATATGGCAAGGCATGAGAGGAAATAATATAATTAGGCATAAAAATGCCACAAAACGTCATAGTATAGTATAGCAAAATACGTCAAAAATACATCATAGTATATTAAGGTATAAAAGGTCATAAAAACACCATACTATGGTCAGGCATCAAACGAGATAGTATAGTAAGGCATTAAAATGCCAAAAAACGGCAGAAAAAAGTATGGCAGAAAAATGCCAAAAAACGTCATAGTATAGTATGGCAAAATACATGAAAAACACATGAGAATATATTAAGGCATAAATGGTCATAAAAACGTCATAGTATGGTCAGGCATCAAACGAGATAGTATAGTAAGGCATAAAATGCCAAGAAATGGCAAAAAATACTATGGCAGAAAAATGTCAAAAAAAGTCATAGTATAGTATGGCATATAAGGTAAAAAATACAACATAGTATAATAAGTCATAAAAGGTCATAAAAACATCATAGTATGGCAAAAATAGGGACAAAATAATATAATTATGCATAAAAATGCCAAAAAACGTCATAGTATAGTATAGCAAAATACGTCAAAAATACATGATGGTATATTAAGCCATAAAAGGTCATAAAAATGCCGTACCATGGTCAGGCATCAAACGACATACTATAGTAAGGCATAAAAATGCCAAAAAACAGCAAAAAATACTATGGCAGAAAAATGTCAAAAAACTTCATAGTATAGTATGGCAAAATACGTCAAATATACATGATAGTATATTAAGGCATAAAAAGTCATAAAAACGTCATAGTATGGTCAGGCATCAAACGAGATAGTATAGTAAGGCATAAAATGCCAAGAAACGGAAAAAAATAGTATGGCAGAAAAATACCAAAAAAACATCATAGTATATTAAGGCATAAAAGGTCATAAAAACATCACAGTATGGCAAGGCATGAGACGAAATAATATAATTAGGCATGAAAATGCCAAAAAACGACATAGTATAGTATAGCAAAATACGTCAAAAATACAACATAGTATTTTAAGGTATAAAAGGTCATACAAACGTCATAGTATGGTCAGGTATCAAACGAGATAGTATAGTAAGGCATAAAATGCCAAGAAATGCCAAAAAATACTATGGCAGAAAAATGTCAAAAAAAAGTCATAGTATAGTATGGCATAAAATGTCAAAAATACATAAAAGTATATTAAGGCATAAAAGGTCATAAAAACACCATACTATGGTCAGGCATCAAACGAGATAGTATAGTAAGGCATTAAAATGCCAAAAAACGGCAAAAAATAGTATGGCAGTAAAACGCCAAAAAACGTCATAGTATAGTATGGCAAAATACATCAAAAATACATGAGAATATATTAAGGCATAAAAGGTCATACAAACGTTATAGTATGGTCAGGCATCAAACGAGATAGTATAGTAAGGCATAAAATGCCAAGAAACGGAAAAAAATAATATGGCAGAAAAATACCAAAAAACGACATAGTATATAGTATGGCATAAAAGGTCAAAAATACAACATAGTATAATAAGTCACAAAAGGTCATAAAAACGTCATAGTATGGCATAAATAGGGACAAAATAATATAATTATGCATAAAAATGCCAAAAAACGTCATAGTATAGTATAGCAAAATACGTCAAAAATACACCATAGTATATTAAGGTATAAAAGTTCATAAAAACACCATACTATGGTCAGGCATCAAACGAGATACTATAGTAAGGCATTAAAATGCCAAAAAACGGCAAGAAATACTATGGCAGAAAAATGCCACAAAACGTTATAGTATAGTATGGCAAAATATGTCAAAAATACATGACAGTATATTAAGGCATAAAAAGTCATACAAACGTCACAGTATGGTCAAGCATCAAACGAGATAGTATAGTAAGGCATAAAATGCCAAGAAACGGAAAAAAATAGTATGGCAGAAAAATGCCACAAAACGTTATAGTATAGTATGGCATAAAAAGTAAAAAATACATGATAGTATATTAGGGCACAAAAGTAAAAAACATCATAATATGTCCAGGCATCAAACGAGATAATATAGTAAGGCATTAAAATGGAAAAAAACGGCAAAAAATACTATGGCATAAAGTGTCAAAAAAACATCATAGTATATTAAGGCATAAAAGGTCATAAAAACGTCACAGTATGGCAAGGCACGAGACGAAATAATATAATTAGGCATAAAAAAATGGCAAAAAATACTATGGCATAAAAATATCAAAAAACGTCAAGTATAGTACAAAACAAATATCAACACAAACAGCCATACTATCAAAGACCTTAACCAGGTCCTGTACCTTCATGTCTTACAACCATTAATGTAGTGTACATTATTTGTCGCCAATTATTTGGGGAAAAAAATCAACACATAGATGACTACGTGCTCTTACTTTGAAAAGCGGAAATGGCGTTGTCAGCGGGTGATCATGTGTTTTCCAAAAATGGCTGAGTGATATAAATTGATTTTGGTTTGGTTTAGACTTGCAGAAAGTTTTTTTCAAAATTGCATGTGTGTAAAATTGAAATCCATAAGCGTAGAATTGAGATCCATAAATGCTTTTACGCTTCACAAATAGAAAATTGATTCACAAATGTGAATGTTTGTAAGTGTAAATGTTAAGAAGATATTTACAAATGCTTTTCATTTATCTAATTAATAAATTCATTGAACGTATTCACAGATAATTTTTTATTTGTGGATTTTATTTGTGTATTTGCAAATCTGTTTAATTATTTCTAAGATATTTTTGTGAATTTGCAAATTTATTTTTTGTATTTGTGGAAGGCATTTTATATTTACATATTATACATTTATGCATGGATTGTCGATCTGTTACCGCAAATAACACTGACACTAATCTACCTCCATATTTCAGGAATAAAGTTAAGAAGGTAGATGAAAATGGATCACTGAGGAAAATGAACTGATGGACGAGGAAGCGTTGTGAACTAAGAACTAAAGTGAGTTAGACAGATAATCAATGGATGAAGAGACCAATTCAAGTCATTTAGTGGCTAGAAATGTTCCACACTGTTGCAGTCTGCTGAAAGCTGCTTGAAGCAGAAGCATGGGGAGAAGAGATGATCAAACAGATGACTTAACGAGAAAAATCCCAACAGCAGCTAGAAGACATCAGTTGTATTTATTTGGAGATGAACATCTGAAACTAATGAGTTTGTTGGATAGTTTTTCCATTTAACAACCATGCCCCATGCTTCTTATGAATGTAGCTTGGTCAGCAAGTCATTTATATTAAAATCAGCTGCAAAATTCCCTCACTCTTCACTCCTCATTCAAAAGATGGAAATGTTGCTTTCATTGATATGGTTTGGTACTACAGGAAAGTTTCTAAAAAATACAATTTTTTTCTGATCATCCCATTGTCAACTGTTATTTGCATATCAACAGCAATTGCTCCATTTTCAATTAGCTGATGGAGAGGCCATCCTTCTGCAGGAGGATAAAAGTTGACAGTGTGAAGGGAGAGGAGGTGATGTTGCAGCTAAAGAAGCCCAGGTTAGGTCTGAGTCAGGGATGGGATTCAGTTTTTGATTTTTTTTTTTAAATGGAAAATTGCTATTTATAAATTTAATTTAAAGATCTGCTGATTGGATACCAATAACATGTTATCATTTTAAAATACAAAATTAAGTATTCATATGAAATTCTGTATTTAAGATATACAGATTTGTGTGTCAATAAACTGATTTATTGAACCAGTCATCTAGAATTTGTTAGTACTTTTCCTCTTGATCATTTCGGAAACTGAAGCCCAGCCCCCTCCCTGTACATCATCTCTTTGTAGGAAGACAGGAAACGAAAATACACACCCAGCTTTACAGATATCATGCCAGAAATCTTGGAAGAGAGCGCCCAGGCTGTATGTGGTGCTGGCTGAGTGGGAGTGTGGCGCCCCCTCCTGTGTGTTATCGGTAGTGCTAGACCCGTCGCCTTCCCTATGCACCTCCATCTGAGATGCCTTCCTCAACTTCCTTCAGTTTGGAAAGAGTAGAGGGTGGAGAGAGACTTAGAGAGGACCTGGAGACTAAGGAACTACAGCACTGTGTCCATCGGGAGCCTGGCAGCGTTTTTACTCAGCACTGCACTGAGTGAAGAATTTTAACTTTCACAGAAGGCCAACAGTGCAGTTTGAAATCCTGGCACCCGCTGGACACAGAGGCTGATACAGTAAAAGGCAAATTCCACCAAAATCTTTTAGGTTCTTATTCTGCAAAAGTAAATATTTTAAGAAAACTTGTTGTATACATGTGAAATATAATCGCTTCCTATTAAAAAAAAAAAAACATCACATAATGGGACAACAACAACAACACATTTCAGGTTTTAAGATTTGATTAGGGGACACCTTATTTCATTGAATTTATGCGAGTCAATGGAAGAATAGAATAGTGAAGGAATTTTCGTTCAGTGTCTCGTTTTGCAGGATATTAAAGATAAAAAATAAAAATTAGATTTTGCAGAATCGTGCCTAATAGATTTGATTATTAATCAAAAGGACACAGAGGAGAGGTGTGGGACAGAGCTCATATTTTGCTTTTCAAACTTAAAGTGTGAAACAAGATGTTCAGGAAGTATTTCAACTACCACTGAAAAAAAACTACATTATACACTATATTAACTGGTTTTGATTCACAAGATTAATATGGCTGATCTAAAAATAAAATTTGGTTTGTGACTTCAGGTAACCAAATGTCACTTAAATGTTCTTTCCTTTAAAACAATAAATAAAATATGACCTAGTGTCTTGTGAAATTTGGCAGCATATTAAAAATGTATTTCCTGTCCTAGGGACTGATCTGTCCATGAGACGAAATCTCTGTAAGAGTTGGATGAGGGAAAGAGAAAGAGGATTCAGAGGATCAGCTTCTTATTAAATGTCCCTAAAGGGAAGGGGGTCTACGGTTGATTGAATGAAGGAGCAAACCCTATTTCCAAACGTTCCAGAACTTCCCCAAACCCTTTCCAAAACCGTGGCATGGTCCAATTTTCTTTCCAAAAGTCTGAAAATTGTCTTTACATTGTTCTGAACCAGAAAAAGCAGCCACACACTGAAGCTTCAAACCAGCCTGCAAATCTAAACACTACAAAACACACCATGTAAAGCGAGCTGCTTCCTACTTTCACACCCAATAAATCCCTTTTGTGTTCAACCAGTGACTGTACATTTATCAGGGAGAGGTTTCCTGAAGATTTTACAATTCGTCTAATTCGCTACTTCATGTCTTTACAAAAATCCACTTTGTAGTAATGAGAAAGTTTAGGTATTAGCATTAGGTTATACATTTTTGGAAATCTTTCTCTTGTCAGAAACTTGTGGAAAAAAACTCCCCATGATAAACAAACTAATTTTGAGTTTGATTTTGAGTGAAAATCTGACTGAGAACTTGGCAGAAAGCAAACAGTGAGGACAGATGCAACCCAGCAACAAAAGACGAATTCAGTAGTTTCCACATCTTTCCTCCTCCACTCTCTCTATCTCATGCTTTTTATCTCCATTTTCCCACACGTTATCTCTTCCTGTGTATCCCTTTTTTCCAGACAGACTTTCTGGGTGCAGTGTCCTCTGATATTTTAATGTTTCCACACTCCTACATGATTCATCTATTGTTGACTCCCTCCTGTATCCATCATGTCATCTTTTTTTTTTCTGCTTACCTAACCTTGACCTCGTCTTTATTGTCTCCTCCCCTTCCCGTCTTGTCCATCATGTCCAACTCTCCTTCCCTCCTTTGTATAATTTCTCCTTTATATTCTACACTGTCTCTGTCTTTACTCGACCTTCACCATTTCTAATAAGCATGATTTCCTCTTTTCCTTCCTCCTTCCTTACCTGCGTCTCTTCCCCCCGCTGCTGGAGGCAGGTTTCGGGGTCCTGGTGGAGACGATCTGACAGTGGACGGTGCCCAGCAGCAACATGAGCCAGATGGCTCCAAACACTTCAGTGGCCGGTATCCCATGAGGCTGAGGGATGGACACATACAGGACTGCTGCTGCCACTGTGAGACAGAGAGAAATGTCATTTGTTACAACATTATACACAGAGAAATGATTATCATTGTGAGACTTGAAACCACTAATTGATTTAAGATGGAAAGCATTTCAATCCTCACAAAGATTCAACTGGAATCAATGTTGTCCATTTTAATAAATTTGTGGTTTGGAGTCCATGTGCAGGTGTTAGCCCTTTACAGTGCATGGGTTCCCAACAGCCTTGCCCCTACATGTGATGTGAAAATAACGATGACCTTTCTATGACAGAGCTCAAAAGCTTGTGGAGACCAAAACAGAGTTAAGTTAATTCATCAACTGATGGGATGCACATGTTGCTTTGTGTCTGCTGGCTGTGTAACTAAGCAACCGTTTGCTAACATTATTACAAATTCATTAAACAAATTCATAAGATGACTATATCTCATGTTAACATTTCTGTGAGCTTTGTATTTGTGCACTCTAGTGATCAAAAATCATGTCATGGAAATTTTACCTTGCCTAAAATGTAGTATTACATCAAATAGATGGGGTGTGTGTGTGTGTGTGTGTGTGTGTGTGTGTGTGTGTGTGTGTGTGTGTGTGTGTGTGTGTGTGTGTGTGTGTGTGTGTGTGTGTGTGTGTGTGTGTGAGGGAGAGTGTTTTTATGTGGCATGTGAGGGAAGTGAGCAGGAAGGGTGGAGGGTTGGAGACAGATGAAAAATAACAAGACTGTTTTCATCAGTGCTGCAGAAAGGGCAACATGATGTAGGTGGTGGAAAACACTGGAGTGGTCTTGAAAGTGTTTGTACATTGAGTGTGTGCAGCACTAGGCAGAGCTCGGGACCGCTGCATGCTCGCAAGACATTGTGGACCGTGTGTGCGCGTTAAGTGTAATGTGTTAAGAAAAAACAGCAGATCAGGTGCACAGGAACAGCCGTTGAGCATCTTGCAAACATGTTCAGACCTGCAAACACAGGGCCGAAGATTTAAACATCCACCGAGGATGTTTAAATGTTGATGATGTAACTCGCCTCTCAAATCTACTGAACTGAAATCTAGAAATTGTAGATATAAAATAAAATAGGGCACGATTTCCTTGAAGTTTCCTCAGAGTGATGTCTGTTGCTTGTAGGCTGGGTTTGCAAGACAAACAACATATTTTGGCAGTCATCCAACACACAGTCTCACACACACACACACACACACACACACGGTCACGCACACACACATACGGTCTCACACACACACACACACACACACACACACACACACACACACACACACTTACCTTGCAGCAAATACAGTGCCAGCAGTAAGAGGAAAATGGCTCTGGAGGTGACCTGGATCCACCACCGATAGAAGAACGGGAAGAACACCACTCTGACGATGCCTTTCCTGGTCAGTGACGTCCACGGACTCTCTGGTTTGGCCTTGGCAAACGCAGAACCTAACATGCAAGAGAAAAACACACACACTTAGTTTAATGAGAAGAACTAATTAAGGAAAATGGCTCTGTGGTGAGCAGAAAACTCATCACTTAAAACATCCTGGAGTCACGCTGGAGCCGTCTTTTTTATCTTTTAATCTTTTGCTTCTTCCTTCTCTGACTCATCTTTCATCCCTTCTGTCTGTTTTTTTTTTTTTTTTTTTTTTTTTTTTTTTTTTTAATATATGCAGATCTTTCTCTACTTCCATCCATCCACATCTTTCTCGGTTGTCTCTCTTGTCTTCCTGTGTAATGAAATAACAATGAGGATAAATTTGACTGATCTGATGAATAATTCAAAGTGTGATGAATATGAGACAGATGCAGAGATGAGAGCACAGATAGAGAGCTGAGGATTAACAGTGACAAGAGGTTGGCACGGAGACACTGGCATCTCAGGTTCGTGTGTGTGTGTGTGTGTTATGTTGATACCACTGAGCAGACGATGTCGCCTGTCTGATGATTTTAGGTTTAGCAGGAAGCCTGTTTGATGTCTTATTATCTTGACAGAAAAAAAGGGTACACGCGCGCACACACACACACACACACACACACACACACACACACACACACACACACACACACTTCTCTCACCTCTAACCAAGTCCACATCTATAAGATCTGGTTTGACATGTCCTGTCTTCTTTGGCTTGTTCCTCAAGCCCTGCAGGGGGAGACAGAGAAACACAGAGTCAATGCCACACAAAGAAACTGCAAAATGACTAATATACATTCACACATACACACACATCTACAGGAACTCAACTGCAGGTGACTTCTCGTGCACTTTATGCCAATGACACACACACACACACACAGACACACACACATTCAGTGTTTGAGGCACACCGTGCGTTAAGGCTCACACAGCTACTGGCTCTATTCTCTATTTGACAGCATGTACATTTGCTCACATCTACCAGATTAATCTCGACATTTTTAGCCAAGTCTGGGAAACAGATTTCCTCAGTTTGCAGGTGTTGATGAATTAAGACGAAAAAAGAGAAATGTCCCCGAAGACCTTTCAGTTGTGGAAACCAGCTGCATCATTTCAAAGGAGTCTGTTAAAGCTCTCATTCATGGCGGTGAGGTTTACTCATGTAGCTCCCCTGTGGCACGCTGACTTCCTGTGCCAGCCAGTCACTTCCTCCTATGATGCATACACTTAATTTGAGTTTGTGTGTGTGTGTGTGTGTGTGTGTGTGTGTGTGTGTGTGTGTGTGTGAGAGTGAGCGAGAGACTGCTCCGTTAGCTTTGATGCACTGAAACTTTACCAGTTACTATAAATGATGAAATTTAGATGTGTATGACAGCCTCCGCATGACTGACGAAACGGACATTGAATACAAATGAACGTGGCTTGTACTGTGTGTGTGCGTGTACGTATTATTTTTGTCATTTTTATGACTTATTTGCAATTACTTTAATTAATAGTTGGGATCAAAATGTAGCCTGAATTTTCTGAGTTTAAATGCAGTGTGCTGATACCCTCCATTTTTCATATATTTTTTTTAAAGGTCCCATTAAAAACAGACAAGCTTACTTCCTGTGTTGTTACCTGTAGTGCCCCTGGCTCTATTGTGATCCATTCTGCTATCTAACATTAAACACTAAGCATGTGCTAATTTCTGCATACTTACATACTAAAATGAAACCCTTTCATATTTTATTCAAGTGTCAGTTTGTTTTCTATGATACATTCAACTACATAAATATTTATAAAGTTATTGAACTACCAAAAGCTGATATGTCTGATAGATTTATAGTCTGTTAACTATTAATTTAGCCATTTTCAGACTACATTATATCAGTTAATTTCTCAGCCTAGTCTTGTCTTGTGTTTCATCATTTAACATTTGAGAACTTCTTCTTCTTTAGGTAAATGAAAAAGGGGATTTTGGTGAAAAAAACAAAAAAAACATGTTTATACTTTTCAAAATAAGAAAGTATAGAAAAAAGTGTCATCTTGGTATCCACACTAGTAAATTTCAAACAATGCCCAACGGGTTTTCATGATCATTGTACTAGAGGGGAGAAATCTTGACAAGTCCTATCAAAGCTTTGAAATACTATACATTTTTAGGATGTGACTCATATTGAACAGAGGGCTGTTAAAACACACAAAGCTGCCCACTTGAATCTGACCTTCTGATGCTAATATTTACATACAGGCCCATCAAGTTTTCTGTTATCAGTCAATGTTCTGATACAGAGCCTTGATGGAAGCCCTTATCTTTAAATAACACAACCAACAGGCTAATACGCTGCATGTGTTTGGGTATGTGTGTGAGAGTGAGAGTGAGGAGAAGGACAGCGAGTGTGCATTTGTGTGTGTGTGTGTGTGTGTGTGTGTGACCGTGCAGGGCTAAAAAGAAGTCGATCAATGGCTTCCTCTTGGCAGTAGATTTACCGCAGCAGTAAAGTCCTTCATAAATTTCCCACCCTGCCACAGCTCTCTTATCTCTGTGCTATTCATAGCCTTATCTTTATAAACTAGTTTCTCTTCAAGTTATAATGCTGGCACAGAGACTGATGATTTGATGAATGATTTGGCATGAATTTCACTCATTCATTTAGTGAGTAGTGCAAACTCTCAAGAGAAAAGTGTTTAAAACAGCTATTTTTCGCTCTTTACATTCTTTACTAAAAGCTGCTTGTCATGTTGCTTTTCATTTATGCTTTGTCCGCAGTTGAACTTTTGCTACACACCTGACATGGTAGACATTTAAACATATTTTAACACCGTAATTTGAAGCAAAAACCAGGCAGGATATACTGTAGTTTCCTGTTTGCACCAGCAGGTGGCGACTGGTTCTCTTCTGCAGAATTATTCATGGCCTTGTCTCAATCTATAACTAATAAACTCACACAATAACTGTTTAATTAGTTTTTAAGAGTTGATTTCAAATTTGCTGTAAATTTTTTAAAAAAGCTAACTCACTTTTTCAGAAGCAGTAGCCAGAAAAATATTCATTTAGTCAATTTGGGTTCCTTGTTATACTTTAAAAATAGCAGCAAATAGCATAATGTAACCAAGTATGAAGTATTCTGGAAGAACAGCTAAAAGTGTTTTAACCACAATGTGAAATAAAACTGCTGTAATATAATATTTCTTGTCTTATTTGATTTTGCAACGTCAGAGATCAGAAGGGAAACAAAACCAATCGATCTGCTGCTGGACTTATTGGTCTGTGCATCTAGACATCCATTTTTTTTTTTTTTAACACTGCACATAGTTTGTCAGAAATTAAAACTCCTGCAGCTGTATTTTCACTTAAACAAAGCACAGATACCAAAATGGTCAATATAATAAGAGAGGTAGTCAACGCCTCATCTTACTGCTAAAAAAAGACGACAGACAACTGAGATCCTCGAGACCTATGAGAACGATTGGTATCTAAGTTTTTTACAGGCCCGTAAACAGTATAATTAACACTCTATAGGGGTGAGGAGTATGCGTATGTATGTGTGTGTATGTGTGTGTATGTGTAGACTTTGAGCTCATTAAAGAGAGTGTCTCTCACCTCTCTGTTTACAGAACAAGAGGTGAAGTACGGGAGAGAGGGAGGTAGAAGTAGAGGTGAGACTAAGTCGAAACCTCTTGAACCCAAAGCAACATGCTTACATGTAAACATTTTTTATATCTTCTGTCATCACGAGTAACTTAAAATAAGTAACGTTACAACTAAATGTAATCCTGCCCTAAAAACACTTGAAGAAGCCTTATGAGATCCTCCAACCTCACTTTGGGAACCCTGGATGTAAGAGAATCTCTCATAAAAACCAAGAAGGGACTGATGACGATGTCCTCTTAAAAAGGTCAAAGGTGAGGAGGCTACCATTAATCTGAACTACGAGGGATTTGCTTTGAGGCATGCACACACAGGCATGCACACACAAACAAATTGTCCCAGCAACCTCTAATATTAGGCCATAGTGATATTATGAAGCAGAGCAAAAGAGGTCAACTACTAACTATCCAATTAGTATCCAATAACTCAAGTGATGTCATTTGAGTCAGCTTCAGAAATAAAATTTAAAAAAATTAAAAAAAATCTGGAGGTGTGGAGTTACCTGCTCTTCATCTCTGCTTGAGGCTATAAGATCAAGGCTACACTAGCCATTACTAGCATAACACAGCTGAACTGTCAATGGCCAAACTCTATTATGGGTAATGTAAGAAGACTCTGCTGCTGTCCATCATGACTCAAACAGTGTTATAGAGGAGCAATGCTACATCAGTGGAGTGCTCTTCATGATCGTGGTGGTAATGAAAGACAACAACCTGAAACGGACCAGCTCATGTCAACATGACGAACGACACGCTTGTTTATCCGTCACCACAGAAACCCCTCTCTCCGGTGGCCAGGTCCAACTACTTCCTTTTTTGGTTTGAGCTGTTAACATTAAACGTCATGGTGCACAAGTTTGTACCAAAAAAAAGTGATGATGCTGTGAGAACAAGTGACTTCCTGCATCACACATCCGAAAAGACTTAAGAGGCTGATGATTTCCAACTGAATGAATGTTCCAAGAAGAAGCACATGAGAGCACATGTTGATTCATGTTGAGAAGTGGAGGCTAGGAATGTACTGTCCTACCCAGACTTGTTCCCAGAGGAACAGCACGGCACTGACTGGTCACAGAAATGCTACTAGGACCCTGATGTTTGGAAAACTGTTTTTGGTTTTTGTGAATCTTTAATCTGAGCTCACCTTCAACAGTTTTGTGTCACTTAGAGAGTCATTGTTGCATTTTTTTTCCCCCAACCCAAAGCTGTCCACACGGTGACTGGTGCCACCCTGATCACATGACTCATGCTAATCCAGCTGTGTTCACACTGCAGACAGGTCCACATCTGCCTGGTTCCCTCATTTATCTACAACTTAATAGTGGCTGCAGTTTCACTTCTTGAAAACAGAGCTACAGTGTGAACACAGAGTGGGGTTAATACAAACACCAGGATTCGACATAGCAACTGAACTGAGCGATCAAACCAACCAACCACAGTCTAGTCATCTACAGCGTGGGTGAGCACACGTGCACTGTGGGACAACAGGAGGCACGCCCTCCCTGCTGAGTACTCACCAGAGAGATAAACTGCAGAGAGGAGGAGGAGGAAGGAAGAAGGGATGGAGATGGAGGTGAAGAGAGGAGAGATGGGCAGGTGACACCCCAGCCAGGAAGGCAAGAGAGGAAAGAGTTAAAAAGAAAACACTGGAAAAAGAACTGGCGGCATGGTGAGAGGCAACGAAAACAGAATAATAAGGAAGGAGAGAGGAAGATGGAGGAGTGAAAGTCAAAGAAAGATGAGACTTTTTGAATAAGCAGAAAGACAGAAAACACAAACAGCAAAATGAACAAAAAAAAAAAAAAAGGAAAGCACACACCAAAAGTGAAGAAACAGAAATTTGAAGCAAACAAACGATGAACCAGACAAACCTTTATTTCTCTCTGCTCCACTGATTTCTCCCAAATCTGTTGATCATAGGCGCCAATCTGGAAAAATAAGAACAAAGAAAGAAAGAATTAGTGATGAAATGTAAAGAGAAGAGCTACGCTGAACAGAAACCAGGTGCAAAGTGTTGGTCTCTGTAGGCACATCATTTTTTTTTTTACTGTTTACAGGAATAATGACCTAACCACAACAAATGTTCTTTCGACACAACAAAGCTGTAGTTCCCTTAAATAACTTTCATATCACTGAGCAATGACATCAAAGAGAACAATGTTTTTCTTATGAAGGATCACATGAACTGAAAAAAAATGTAAAATATAATTATGTAATTCCACTGTTTTCTCTCCTTGAAATCAGAGTGAACTGTCAACTCCCCTTCATTTTGTTGGCTGCAGCATTAGCATTTAGCATTTTAAGACACATTAAGACATAACAACAGATTTTACAGAGTATGAAGGGTCAGATCATTATGATGAGTGTTTTGTTTGTGTGGGACTTTTCCTCTCAACTGGAGCCGTCACGATTGCGATAAACTTTTTTTTTTTTTTTTTTTTTAAAGAGCCACAATGTGGATAAATCTGATTGTTAGTCAGTAAATGCAGAATTGTTTCCCCATAAATGAACCAGAGATTCACCCTCAGACATTCATGGAAAACTCTGTTTAAACAGACTGGAGCCAAAGATGTTTCTGCGAACACAGCAGCGGGCCTTGTTCACAGAACACATGTTGACTTGTAATAGAGGGAAGTGGGTGCTATACACCCTTTAAGTAGCATGAAGGCCATAAAACCCATGGTATTCCAGACCATTTGACAATATGACATTTTCTGTATCACCTTGTTCCTCATTGGAGCTACATACTATATATGATGTTTACACCAAGTATGACTTTATG